AGATAGACAGAACTGTCCCAGTGGAATTTCTACTTTGCCATCTTTACAGAAGCAGCTACCAGGTCTTTCTCCTGCAGAACCACTGGGTGAGTTTGAACTGCCAACTTTTGGTCAGGAACTGAGCAATCACTGCACCACCATGGTGCCTTAGTATTAATTTTTTTTTTTTTTTAAAAAAGGACTCCTTCAAAACACTTCCAAATGGATACCAATGTTGAGTAGAAACCGTTTATCAGTAAAAATCAGTACTAAGTTGAGTTTATGTTGTACCAATGCTGGAGACAGTTTATACCTGACCCCAAGTGAAGACAGTGAAATTTTCTGTCATTTGACTTAAAATGTAGTTCATCAGTCATTTGAAGAGGAAGGCAAATGGATCACTGGCATCCATCCAAGCTTCAGCCAGGGAAAGTGCAGTCAGAAGAATAGGCTGTAGATTCTGATGAAATAATTTAGGGTATTTTGGAGAATGACAAAGATTTCACACTCAGCTGTAACCTAAATGCCAGTTGAGATTCTCCTGCTAGGAGATCTAAATAGATGAGACTCAAATCCAGATTCTACAGGTGTTCTCTCAAAGTCCCCACAATTCCTTCAAGTTCTCAGAACATGCTTTACAAGTTTTTCTGTGTCTGCAAACTTCTCAGCAAACAGGAACAATTTCTGTTTAGTTCTACTTTAACCTCTATCCACATGAAATCCACTTACATCTCGCTGGTCTGTGCTGTCTGATATGCTTGCGACCAGCCATGCGTGACTGTTGAAACTGAAAGTTGTTTTCCCTTAGCACTTTAAAGATAATATTCTAAAGTTGCCTGACTTCTGTTTTTATCCCTCTGTCTGGTGCCATTCTGAATGTTGTTCCTTTGTGGATGCTTGTTGAGTTGTGTCTTTTGGAGTGCCCACTTTCTAAATTTCACATATAGTGTGCCTACCTGTAGAATTTTTTTTTTTAAACTAATCTTATTCAGTATTCAGTGAGTCTTTTTCATCAGAGGATATAGATATTTCTCCAATCCCCTGTATTCTTACCTCCCAAACTTTATGCAGGTTCTAGCAGTGCCCTCCATTGGAGCTAAACAGTGGAGGGGGGGAGGGATTGTGTGTGGTTATTGTACTATCAACAATTGATAGTCACCATCTTCCTTTCCAGCCTTATCATTCTATTCTCTAGCCCGAGGTTGAATGATCTCTGGAGCCTACTACATAGTTTAATTCTTTGCCATTGACACTAGGAAAGGAAACTTTGTTATTCTTTCCAAACATCATATTTTGTAAAGAGACTATAATTCAGGAAACAGAACCCTAGCTTTGGAATCAGAAGGTCTGGGTTTAACCTCCGGCTCCTCCACTGACCAGCATTGTGAACCTGGACAGATTTCCTAATCTCTCTTGATATCAAGTTTCTTGTGTGTGAAATAGGAGTGTTGGTCCTACATAGCTCACAAGGTTTTTGTGAGGATTTCATTTGATGATTTCAGTAAAAATACTTTATTATAAAATATTGTATTGATGTAAGTTATTTTTATTAGAATGAGATTTCAGTGCCTTGACTGAAAAGAGGAGCTGAAATAGTAGATATTTTAGTTTAGGAAGGAAAGTCTTTATGTGCTCCTTAAGTACATAATAATCTACACTGGCCCTAATAGCAAATCTTTTCTGCAATGATAGAAGCTTAATGATTCTTCACCATTGACATGGGCTTCTTTTACAACAAGAAAGGAGGAATAAAGGAAATAAACAACACAAAGGGATAAGAGAGAGAACAGGAGAAAGGAAATAATGTTATAAAATGGACTGATGACAGATTATAGGATACTGTCAATTTTGATAGTGTGGGCCATAAAGAACAAATTCTGTTTGCAGATAGGGTGAAGTGTATCTTCTGACTGTTTAAAGCACAGCTTACATACATTCTCAAGCCAGCTCTCAGACGGTTCACTTTTCTTAACTAGATAAGACTTTTATGGACGGATTATTATTTGTAAATAGCACTATTGTTTTATGGTTAGAGAAAGGTCATGTTATTCTGAAGGCAAGAAGATATAAAAGCTGCAGAAAATTTGACCTGGATCACTCAAGACACTGAAGAAGACAGGAGTCCATCAGTGCCTTGGAGGTCAACCAGGTAATCTTCCCTGCAGTTGAGGGCAGAAGACTTTCTCTTGAAATCTGTTTTCTTCTGCCAGCTATTGGTCAAAATTGACAAGCATAGAGCTCTGGTGGCGTAGTGCCTAAGGCACTTGACTGCTAACCAGAAGGTTGGTGGTTCAAACCTACCAGCCATTCCATGGAAGGAAGACTGGGTAATCTATTTCCATAAAGACTTACTGCCTCGGAAACTCGATTCGATGGCAGTGAGTTTGGTTTAGTTTTTAGCTCTAATGATGTTGCTCATGTTTTTTGTTGCTGTCTTGTTTGATGTGAATTACTTATTTTCTTTCTTTCTTTATTATAAAGAGCATTGGCTCCGTTGTCAAGAAGTGTTGTGTACAGTCATGGTTCTCTGACCTAGTAGCTATGGAACTTTGGGAAAATTATTTCATCTCCATGAACTTCCATTTCTTCATCTGGAAAATGCATCCTAGCTATGAGGATTAAATGAGATGATATGTCATTACGCAATGAAGGCCGTTTTGCTAAGATTCATTTATAGATCATTCAAAAAGATGCTGCATCTACCTTCCCACTCAGTCTGCTTGACAGAGAAGTTCTTACTTTTTGCTTTTAAAGGGGTTTCAGGATATTGAGAATACCCCATCACTTTTGTTGAAGCACTGTTTACCTATTCATTTGGGGAAATGCCATAGGTTTCAGGGTCAGATTAGCTACAGTTTCTTTATGGAAGCCTCTTGCCAGGTGTGGACCTTCCACGGTAGTGGTTAGAACAAGCGACTTTACAGTTACGAGCAAGCATAGACTGTCTGCGCCACCTGGGGACCTTATACCCCATCACTTTTGGAAGAGAGAGTCTGCAGAATTTCTGCAGTGATGAAAAAAAAAAGGCAGAACATCCCAGATCCACAGTCTTCACCCTTATCCCTTTGTGTTCACACATACCAAAGTGCTCATATGGATGCTACATTAGATGTTTTAGAAAAGTCTCCATTTCAAATATTACATTCTACCATTCCTCTTAAGCAATCTATTAATTGAAAGGTAGACCATATGTTCTGATTTGGGGATAATGAAATATGGTCAAATGAGAAATCAATGAATCACTCATCATAATAGTATTTAGGGGAAAAATCAGTAACCTAACTCCATGCTTACACTACATCAAAGCCCAGATGGATGAAAGAAGAGAACATGGGTGAGTGTCTTAACTTTATGGGATGGTGATGGCCAGGCTTTCCAATATGAATTCCAAGAATTATCATGGTGAATACAAATATGATAATATAATGTTTGAAAATTTCAGTATGGCAAAAAAAAAAAAGAGAAATGTACTAAATTCAAGAGAAAAATACCAACTGGGAATTACTATTAGTAATAGAGGAAAGTGTCTATACAAAAAAGTTCTCACAAATCCCTGAGGAAAAGAGATGCACAATCAAATGGCAAAATGTGCAAAGCTGCAAACTGAAAATTCACGAAAGAAACACAAAAATTCATAGTTAAAGGAAAAACTGTTCAACTTCATTAGCAATTTTTAAATGCTGCAAGAACAATGAGGTTTTTCTTTAATATACTAAAAGCAGAAGAAAAAACAAAGACTGACAAAATGAAGCATTCATAAGGGCTTGGGGAAATCAGCATTTTGTGTGTTGGTGGAAGCCCTTGTGAGGACACTTTAGCAAAGGCTATCAGAATGACAGTGTACATGTCCTATACAAATAAGACCCTGAAAAAGTGGGTTTGTACTAAAAATAGAAGAAAAAGTGCATACAAATTATGTAAGTGCAAGAAAGTTGTTACAATCTGTCAATTGCTGAGAAACAAAACCAGGTTGCAGAATGATATGATTCTATTTATATAAAAATATGCAGGGAGAGCAAAGAGAGTTCTGTAGGCTGTTCATCACATTGTTTGTCTCTGGGAAGTGACATGTGCATCCTATTCCATGGTTTTCCTTTGAATTTTTTTTTTTTTTTTAGCAATTCATGTATTATTTGATGATATGGAAAAGATGACTAAGTTTTCATGTCAGCTAGGTGTAAAGGAAAGAGTGCTCAACTGAAGTCATGTGATCTTACTTAGTGGCAGTGTGACAACGAGCAGATGACTTCACACTCACGACCTCAAATTCTCATCTATAAAATGTGGGTTTGGAACCATATGTTCACTTTTAACTCTATCACGAAAAATTCATTTTGGGGACAGATGTGATTTGATTGAGTTGACAATAGTGACTCCATTGTGGCCTCATTTATGATAAAGCTTGCTTCTGACGCCCTCCGCTGGTTCTTCTGAAAATAGCAGAGGCCATTCCTCTGACAGTATGTGAAGAATAGTCCCTACTTCATGTTCCCAAGCAAAGTCAGGGAGCTCTGGGAGCATAGTGCCTAAGTCACTTGACTACTAACCAGAAGGCTGGTGGTTCAAACCCACTAGCCACTCCTTGGAAGGAAGGTTGAACAATCTACTATCTGTAGTAATACTGACTTGATGGCACTTAGCAACAACAACAAGCAAAGTCCACAGTAGTCAGATCTCTTAGGCCCAAAAGTCCTTGAGGATTAGAACAAAGCCTCATAAGTTACATTTTCCTAATCTCTGCATTTAGCCTGCGATTCCCTTCCTTGTAAGTTCTGGGTGTCAGTCTTGGTTCCCTAGAGAAACAGAACCATGCAAAATTAACCATCACACTGCATTGAACCAGAAAAATATTCTTTTCCTCCATATGAGATTTGTAGTCTACACTCCTGGGTTCTTCTCACCAGTGCAAACATATTCAAATTGCAGGTCCAGGGAAATCCAAGAACTTCAAGGAAAAACTAACGAGAACTCTGAGATCCTTGCAGTAGAAGTTTCTGGAGCACTTGGATCCCCAGAGGAAGATGGCTTCCAAGGGCACATGGCTGCTCCTCCTGCTGAGCTGTGCAGCCAGCACTGAAGTCCTGGGTAGTAAGTATCACTCCTGACCTGGAATTGACCCCCAGTCAGCATCCACGCAGCACACAGGACATAGCCATTCATTTGTCCCTTAAAAATAATTAGGCACTGCAGGGAATAAGTGTTAAAGATAGGAATGGCAGATAGTGTGATGTGCTAAAACTGCAAGGGCTTTAGAATCAAACAAATCTCACTCTGTGCAGATGTCAGCCATAGTTAAATCATCAGTTAATTGCAGATTATACTATTTATTTCACAAGTTTATTATGAAGAACAAAATTCAAAAATACAAAAATGACCAGAATTACTGGTTGCATAGACACTGGTGGAACCCCAGGGACTATGGCCCCAGGTTATCCTTGGACCTGAACTGGACTCACTTCCATAGCTTCACCAAAAACCAAACTCACTGCCAGGGAGTCAGATCCAACTCATAGCAACCCCTCCTTGGGTTTCCGAGGCAGTATCACTATGGAAGTAGATTGCCCAACCTTCCTTCCGAGGAGTGGCTGGTGGGTTTGAACCACCAGCCTTCTGGTTAGCAGTCAAGTGCCTTAGGCACTATGCTACCAGAGCTCCCTTTTCCATGGCTTAGCTCTCAGCAAAACAGCAGAAAGGCCTACCAGCAGAACACCTAGCTCAGGGAGATGCCCCCCTTAGATCAATCAACTGTGGGACATCAGAAGGGCAGCATTTGCATAGAAAGAAAGCTGGACAGACAGGAATGCATTGATAAGAAGGGCACAGAGAGGGGGTAGTCACTGGGAGGAGAGCTTTTTATTGTTGAAATTGTGATCGGGAAGTGAAACTAAGTGTTCGGGAACTGTTGAGAGTGAAACTAATCTGTTTTGTAAATTTGCAAGTAAATGGCAATAAATAAAATGTTGTTTTGTGCTGTTGAGTTGGACTCATAGCGACCCCTCCTTGGGTTTCCCAGGCAGTATCACTATGGAAGTAGATTGCCCAACCTTCCTTCCAAGGAGTGGCTGGTGGGTTTGAACCTCCAGACTTTTGCTTAACAGTCAAGTACCTTAGGCACTATGCTATCAGAGCTCCTAGTTTAAAAAATGGAATAAATAAATAATCTAACACCTAGCAGAGAGTCAATAAGTGATAGCTATATTAGAACTTCCTTGTTTGTATTCTGATTTCCTGTTTGAACATGAGATTCTACTTTGCATGGGACTTACATCCCAGTTGTAGATATGGCTCCTTCACACTTTGGAAACCCAACATCAAGTACAAAGCTGCATATCAACAAAGCGGGAAGCAATAACAAATGCAGAAAGCAGGGGAAAAATTGCACAAGTAAGCTGAGAATAAGTATCATAAAACATTTGAAATGGAAGGAAGTGTAGGATTGTCTGACTTCTCTGTTCTAAATACGAGGAAATACTGCCTCCTAAATATGAGGAAAATGAGGCCTACAGATGGGTGGATAGTTGCCCAAGGTCATATAGCAAGCTTATGTGATCTTCTGGGTTCTAGTTCCAGATGCCTTTGGTGGCATAGTGGTCAATGCATTGAGCTGCTAATCGCCCTGTGGTTGGTAGTTTGAACCCACCAGCCACTCCATGGGAGAAAAATGAGTCCATCTTCTTCTACAAAGATTCACAGCCTTGAGGCAGTTCTACCCTGTCCCATGGGGTCGCTATGAGTCAGAGGCAACTCAAGGACAGTGGGTTTGGTTTTCGTTGGTAGCCTTCCTGGGTGTTGCATGCGGAAAGTGAGTGAATAAGCAACAGTTGAGCAGCACTTTAGTTGAGAAGTGAGCCTCCTGGAGGGGGATGAGTGCTGTACATTTCTCCTACCAGAGAATGTCCTGGGCCATGCAGAGTATGACTGGAAGGAAATAGGAAGAGAATCAGGGCTCTTTGAGCATCATGTGGGCCTCCACGGCTGAAGTCTGTGGTCCTTGCCATAAGCTACCATTGCCTTGTGCTGCGTGACTCTCTGCCCTCAACCCCATACCTATGTCCAGCCACCAATTCTCTCAACCGCTTATGGCCATTTAGGACCTGGGACCTCAGCCTTTATCTCTGAACCAAGCAGGAATCTGTGAGTCTGGGAGGCTGCCCATGAGCCCTTCCTTGCTGAGCCACTTTCCATGGCCATTTTAAACTAGGGGGTCCCCTGCGACTCTAGTGCTGTACTGACCTCAGGCTTCCCTAAGAGGCTTGAAATTTGCCCAAGCTACACCCTGAAGGCCTTTGAGTGGTACAAATGGTTAACATGCTTGACTTTTGAGAGTTGGAGGCTCTAGTCCACTCTGAGGCACCTCAGAGGAAAGGCCTGGCAGTCCACTTCTGAAAAATCAGCAAGTATAGTTCCCCTCGGACACACATGGGGTCGCCATGAGTCAGAAATGGCTCCACGGCAACTGGCTTTTTGTTAGTTTGTTTCGTATCCTGGGGAGTGAGAAACAAGACCCCCCCAATCTGAGATTTCACCAAACATTTCTGATCTCTCTCCCTTGAAGGACATAGAATGAGGTCACTCATCACTTGTCCTTCATTTCCCTTACCTAGATCTCCCTGTCAGTATAGAAAGACTTTCTTATTCCTACTATCATGTGGGAGCTTCTCTGATGTCCTATCTTACATGCTTTTTGTGCATGTAAGAAAAAAAAGTCTAATTTTGCAGTTGATAAGGGACAATGATGGAGAATTTAGAAATCCATTTACTCTCTCAATAAATCCTCATTTTCATAATTATTCTCATTATTGCCTCAACAATAATTTCTTTGTCCTGGCCTGTCACTTGAAGCAATGCAGGCCATTGGTTCAGTGGGTGGAGACACATGAAGCAATATGAGTTATGTAATATTTTCAAAAGTATTAAACTGGTCATGATGATAATGGTTATTTTAAATAGCTCTTGTTGTTAGTTGCCATCAAGTTGATTCTGACCCAGGATGACCATGTGTGTGCAGAGGGGAACTATTCCATAGGGTTTTCAGAAGTCTCTCCAGGCCTGGCTTCTGAGGCACCTTTGAGTGGGTGTGAGCCAACAACCTTTTGGCTAGCCCACAAGCCCTTAACTGTTTGGTCCACCTAGGGACCCCTTTTAAATAGCTACTATTTATTGAGTAGGAGCTCCGGTGGTGTAGTGTGTAAGGCACGTGACTGCTAACCAGAAGACTGGTGGTTCAAACCCACCAGCCACTCCTTGGAAGAAAGGTTGGGCAATCTACTTCTGTAGTGATACCACCTCAGAAACCCAAGGAGGGGTCACTATGAGTCGGAGCCGACTCGACGGCACATAACAACAACAACAACAACAATTTATTGAGTAATTAGTACATCCTAGGCTCTGTGTCAGGAGCTCAGGTGGTGTAGTGGTTAAGGCATTTGGCTGCTTAACCAGGAGGTCTATGGAAATCTGCTGCAGGAGGAAAGACCCCCACATCTATGGTGCAACTACCTTGTCACAGAGTCCAAACTTCCTAGCTTGTCATCCCGTCTGAATTTCCCACCATAAACCTTCAGATGCAGTCATGTGGCCCATTCACCAATTAACTAGCAGGAGGAAACTGCACCTCCCCTGAATGAAAGCTTCCTTTGCTTCTAGGCCTTGATTCTTTCCTATTCCTTTCTGCTTTGATTGCCTGACAGATACTCTGTACTTAAGCAAATTTAACTGCTTGCTGTATCTGTGCTCTCCTGTACATTCCTACCACCGTTCTCTGCCAGCCCAGCTCCTTTGTCTAAAATGCTCCATCCCCTTGCTACTCAAGTTCCAGCCAAGTTATCATCTAACCTGCCCTGTTTCTCTCCAGCCAAAAGCACTTCTTCCTCCTCGTAATGCCTAACACTACCAATTTATGCCCCTCATCCATTCTTATGTAGCCCTGAGTTGAAGCTTTTTGTCCTCCACTGTTTGCTCTTGCCAATCATAACCACAATACCTTTTTTGTATTTGTGCAGACATCCTCATGAGACCCAGCTGTGCTACTGGATGGTTTTACCACAAGTCCAATTGCTATGGGTACTTCCGGAAACTGAGGACTTGGTTTGATGCTGAGGTAAGAAATCTGACTCATGCTTGAGCTGCCTTGACTTAGGAACAAGGGTCCCTCCGTGGCACTGTGAGAAGTGGCCTAGCTGGTGAAATGGAGAGAAGACAGTTGTGTGTTTAACTCATTGATGCTTGTAAGCATTGATGGAGTACAGGTGTCTTATTTATTGCTGCTATAACAGAAATGCTGCAAGTGGGTGGCTTTAACATATAGAAATTTGTTTTCTCATTGTTTACGAGGCTAGAAGTCTGAATTCAGGGTCCTGGCTCTAGAGGAAGTCTTTCTCTCTGCTCTGGGGGAAGGTCCTTGTGTGTTTTCAGCTTCTGTTTCTTGGTTCCATGGATCTCATGTGAAGTGGCATTATCTTCCCCCATCGGCATGTGATTGCTTGGTTTCTTGCTCAATTTTCTCTTTTTATATCTCAAAAGAAATTAATTTAAGACACACGATTCAAACCCACCAGCTGCTGTGAGGGAGGAAGATGAGACAATCTACTTCCGTAAAGATTTACAGCCTTGAAAACCCAACTGGGGGCCATATGAGTAGGAATTGACTCAGTGGAATGGGGTGGGCTACACTAATACTGCTTCGTTAACATAACAAAAAAATATCCATTCTCAAATGGGATTATAACCACAGTCACAGAGGTTGAGAATTACAATACATAGTTTTGGGGGACTATTCAGTCCATAACAAGAGCCTATGTGCCCAGACCCTAGGAGGACTCCATAATGTAAGAATAAATAAGAAACAGCCTCTGCCCTCAAGGAGTTCACTGCCAATAAGGAAAACAGAAAAATGTTTACTCAAAGGAGGCTGAGGAGATGAGGAACTGACAGAAAGAATAACTAAGTTTCTATACAGAATTTATCTGAAAGAGAGCAGTGTGTAGACAGGGCTAGAACATCAGCCTCAGAGCCACCTGACAGGATACAAACAGGCCAAACAAATAGAAAAGTTCATTGCTCTACACAACCCTACACACATATTGGCTTTATTGCACTCGGGCTTTGCCTAAAAGAAGCCTAAATAACAGTCAGAATAAGTCACCTCTGAAGGGCATGGGGATTCAATGCCCCTGTTTGAGTTGTGGTTGTTTAACTGAAGTGGCTGGTTGGGTGAGCCGTAGGGGTGAATCTGGAGCAGCTTGTAAATCATGGCAGGGTGGGGCCTGGCATTGCCTCAGAATCCTCGTATAGAACTCAATAATGATGGAACACCAACCATGTAATAGCTACTGAGGACACAAAAGTACTCTCTGACCTTAAAAGTACAAGATTAGCACAGGATGGAGATATCTAAGTGGAAATTTTGAATGCAGCATGAGGGTATTATACAGTCCCAATACTATACCAAGAGGAACTAGCAGAGCAAACCCAGGGAGAACTGCCCTAATGCAATGCTTTCATAAACTGAGGCTTGAAAATAGTGAAAAAGAGATAAGCAAAGAAGGGATTCCCCAGCCTCCGTCCTCTGAAAAAGAAATAGCTCATGGAGATCAATGGACTTTCTCCTCAGTTTACAGCAAGTGTATGCCCTGTCTTGTGTGGTGCAAGTGGTTTGCAATCAGCTTCAAACCTAAGAGTTGGTGGTTTGAACCTACCCAGTGGTGCCTGCTTCCATAAAGACCACAGCCAAGAAAACCTCAGGGAGTCGTTCTACTCTTTAACACATGGGATCATCATGAGTGGAAATCAACTCTACAGCAATGGGTTTGGATTTATTATTATTTATTATTATTCCCTCCTAGTATTTTTGATATTGATGAATTTGAATTGTGGTGGAAAAGAATACTGAACATACCATGGACTGCCAGAAGAATGAACAAATCTTTCTTGGAAGAGGTATAGCTTCAATGCTCCTTGGAAACAAGAATGGTCAGACTTCATCTCACCTACTTTGGTCCTATTGTCAGAAGGGACTGTTTCCTGTAGAAGGATATCATGCCTGATAAAGTTGAGGGTCAGTGAAAAAGGGGAAGGCCCTCAATGAGATGGATGGACACAGTGGCTGTGACGATGGGCTCAAGCATGGCAACAATTGTGAGGCCAGCAGGACATGACAGTGTTTTGTTCTGTTGGACATAAGATCACTATGAGTTAGAGCTGACTTGACTGCAACTAATGGAGTTTTGTACTGCCTGCCTTGAGATTCCAATGCAAATTCTGTGAAAACAAAGAAGATCAATGGGGACCTGTGGAATTAACAGACTTGAGTTTAAATCTAGTCAGTTACATATATAAATAACTAGGAGCTTTAGGAGCTCTGGTAGCATAGTGCCTAAGGCATTTCACTGCTAACCAGAAGGCTGGTGGTTCAAACCCACTGGCCACTCCTCGGAAGGAAGGTTGGGCAATCTACTTCCGTAGTGATACTGCCTCGGAAACCCAAGGAGGGGTCACT